CCAGAATTCCTCAGCCAGCAAAGCTGGCTGAGGAATTCTGGGAGTTGAAGTCCACAAGCCTTAAAGTTGCCAAGGTTGGAGACCCCTGCACTAGACGACAGCAGAGATGATTTGGATAAGAGAAACTCCAACCCAAAGGTGAGAACCTCAGCAGTCATTTTCAGATAGCAAGAGAAAACTTTAATTTTTGGAGCTGCATGACTTGCTGAAAAGTGCGGGAGGAAAAGAGCCCCACCAGAGTCTCCAAACCCAAGCAAGGCCTCTGTTTGCAGCAGCCCAGTGCAGAAGAGCTCTACAAACCAGTTCCAGAAACAAAGACCTGTAAGTGCTGGAGAAATGGGAGGAGAGACACGCCCCTTCGCAAGTCCATGGAAGAGTGAAAAGGATTTCCACGTTCAAACGGGCAGAGGTTGTCTGCAAGAGCTATCCACCTGGGAGAAAAGGAAAGTTAAAGAAGTACTAGTTAAGAAAACAGTGCTAACACAGGAATCAGAACCTAGAAATAGAACATACAGATAGAAATGTACAGAATAAATAAAAATACAACAAGAATAGTTGTAAACGTACAGTAACAAAAAGATAGTAGAGTAAGATAAAGAGTTTAATTTTGTAGAATAACAATTTTGTGAGGGAAAAACAAATAGTCTTTGTGTTCTGTACTGTTCCAGTGCTCAGTTCATATTAAAAATTCTAAAATAAAGAAAAGTGGGCACTTAGATATTTAGTTCTTAAGGGTTTTAGTTTAAATAGAAGAGGTAAAGAAATAAGCAAAATAATCTTACATTGCTTACAGAACAGTGGGATTTTTATTTTTTTATTTATTTGTATCCCACCTTTATTATTTCTACAAAAAACTCAAGGCAGAAAACATATCCAATACATTTTCCCCTATATTCCCCACAACAACCCTGTGAGGTGAGTTGGGCTGAGAGAGAATGACCAGCTCAAGATCACTCAGCCGGCTTTCATTGCTAAGGTAGAAGTTGAACTCATGGTTTCCTGCTTTCAGTGCCTTAACCACCAGACCAAGTGGTTTTTGTTTGGTAGAGGTCTAGTTTGGTCTTCTTGTTTGGTCAGGGATTTTGGGCAGAAGTGGGGAACTTCTGGTTGTTACCTTCTTCAACTTCCTTTCACTCCTCCCTCCCACTTAGTGACTGAGGTCTGCAGCTGATGTTTCATGATCCTGTCTAGTCATACTCTTAATTCGTTACTGACTGCACCGCTGGTATGTGAACAGCTATTGTGCTAATCACTGTGGGCATTGTAACTCCTCCTGTTACAGTGATAAGAGGGAAATCAAGGTGCCAAGTACCCTAGACCAGGATTTGGCAGTAAATTTCAGCTCTGCAACTTCACATGGCCTAACATGGCTAAAACTTCTCAGATACATGATAGGACAGAGCCAGATAGCACTCTATTTCAACTTAGACAGGACAATATTAAACAATTGATTAACATTGTATTAGTATGTTGGGTACAGCTCTCAGCACTTGAAGCCCATTACTGTTGCTTGTGTTCATTTCAATGGATTTGGCTCTTGCTTGAAGCTAAATATAAGTGTTGTTGGTTGTTGGCTGATATCTACTGACTCTTGGCTCATCTCTCACTGGGATTTTGAACTGAAATTTTTCTTTTGAAATTATTAAGGCATCCAGTTGCTGCTGCTTGTGATAAAATAGCCTAGGAGTGTCCAATCTTGGCAATTTTGAGACTTGTGGACTTCAGCTCCCAGAATTCCCAAAAGAGGTTGGAGAAGTTGTCACGGTTGGATACCCTTGATGTAGAACTTGCTACAAATTGGAGCTACAGTATAAGTCTTTCAGTCATCTGCTTTATAGGCTGAATAAAAGGGTATAATTGGGCATCTTAATAGGTCAGGTCACATGGAAACAATTAAGCATATTTAGCTGAAGACATATAATTATTTTTCAGAACTGTGTGCATGCCCAGAGACATAGGACTTCCTGTTATATCTGCAGATGGAGCTATAACAGGACTAGATGAATGAATCTTTATTATAGCCAAGGACCAAACTGTAAAGGTATAACTGAAAACAGCTTTAAAAACCCATAAAAGTAGAAAAGTACAATCAATTGTAAAAATCAATTGTTAAAATAAAAGTATATTAAAGTTCTGATAGACCTTTCATCAATTGACACCTAATTTTCATGGCTCCTGCACAGTATTTTGCTACTAGCTGGGATTACAGTCTGAAAAAAAACATGAACATGTAAGTATTGTCAGGTCATTCAGGGTCCTGATGTAAAAGAGGCAGGATATAAGCATCGTCTATATCTCTATAGATGGTGCAATAAAATAACACATATTTCAACATTTCCGGTTCCACACAAGCAAATGCATTTCTCAAATGGGATTTTAGAGTATCTTCCCTGTAATAACGGCAAAATATTATGCCTTGCCCAAAATAAAGCTTTCCTTAGTTTGGGAAATGTTAATAAAGAGAGATAGTTGACCATTTGCCAAAAAAAATCTTTGTCACCCAAATCCTATTTCTGTATGACAAGGTATTTACTTCCACCTGAAATTTAATGTTATTAAATATTTGGACAACTGTATGTTTGGCAGTCATAGTCCAAGGTTTGTAGAGATTCTGGTCATAATCCATTAGTCGTTAGTTTTTGTTTTATGACATTGTTCTAGCTCAGGGGCAGCCCTCAATCATTATTAATGGGAATAATCCCCAGTGAAAGAACTGGTCCTTCAGCCTGTAATTTAATAGCAATTAGCATATATCCTAACCTCAATTGTAGACATCCTTGTGTCTAGTCTAAGAAGGACATTGGCAATCCCTCTGAGTGCTGCTAGTACAGATCTTATAAATTTTATTGGAAACACTTTAGGGGTGTTCAAGAAGTAGAAGTAATTACTTCCTTTCTATTTCCCTTTGTAGCCCAATCAATTTGCTGGCCAACCGGCTTGTTTACTAATTTGGCTTGTTTGTTTTACAGTTTACAACTTACAGAATTGTTCTCAGGGTCACCTATAATAAAATACAGCTGAAAATGAATGCAAACACATATTAGTATTTATTTTTATTTATCTATGATCAAGATACATTGTTGAAGGTTGTTTTACAAGCACAGATTATTTTTGAATAATTTAAACTTAGGCTTTTAATTTATTTTGTTTTTTGTTTGTTTCTGTTGTTTTAGCCTAGAGAAAGATATGGGTGATGTGTGCCCGGATCAGAAAGATTTTGCAAATATCATACGAGATTCTGGATATGATAGTCTCCCCATTAAGCTCAGCATACTAGATAAACTTCTTCATACCCACCCTATCTGGTTACAGCTTGGCTTAAATGATGCTGAAGCAGTGGAAATTCTACGCTCTCAACCTCCTGGAGTAAGAAACAACTTTAATTTGGCCTTGAAAACAAGAGGAATACTATGCTGGGGCATTGCCTTGCTTTTAGAATCAGACCCCTGCCCATTCTCTCCTATTCTGAAATCACTTTTCAGCTTCTTAAATTTCTATCCCACCTTTTCTCCAAAAATTGATAGCACTTTCTGTTCCAATAGGTTGGGCTGAGAGACAGTGACTGGCCTAAAGTATCCCAAAAGGTTTCCATGGTTGTAGGACATCTTGAACCCCCAATTCCAGTCAAACTCTTTAAGCACTTAAACACACGTACATCATAACTTCCTTCACAGTGTCATTTTATATCACTAGTGTACATGAATAGTGACTAGATGCCAGTCAGGAGAGAAAAGTGTGTGTGATTGCTTCTATTCGTGTAACTCTAATATTCATACACATTATGAATCTGCTTTAGATGAGGGCATCTATATGACTCTCCTAGGCCAATGCTGCCTACTCTAACTAACAATAGTTCTCTTAGAAATCTTTCTTCATCCTTTGCCCTACTAGACAATTTTATCTGGCGACTTAGCATTAAATTGGTAATACTTTGTATTTGTACATGTGTGCACTTATTCTGTCATTATGGTATCAATCTTTCTCAAAAAGAAAGATGAAAAAGAAGTTACTGTTCTGAAAGCAATTATTAAAATTATTTTCTTGGCTAACTGGAGTAGCACTTGCATAGTTTGATGTTTGTCCTTAGGTGTTAACATGGAATTAATATTAACTCTTGGCCCAAACCATTTTTAAAAATCTATTGTCTGCAAATTACAAGATAAAATGGGTAAACATTACAAACAAAGATTGGCTATACTTTCTGCCATTTACAGGTTCTGGGAACTAAAAATATCAATAAGTATTAAGCTTTGTAGCTTATTTTAGACTCTCAAATTATTAGTACCTCTGTTGGAAGTCTTACAAGTTGTATTAAGATGAGACAAAGCAGGTTCATAATATAAAATTCTTGAAAACATGGCTACTAAGTCTATATAAAGCCTTGTTTTTTTCTGATTTGTTTTTTAATAGACTTTCCTTGTTAGAAAGTCCTCAAGAATGCAGAAGAAAGTCTTGTCTTTACGCCTACCAAATGATGTAAAGGGATTTTGCCTTAAAGAGTTTGCAATAAAAGAAAGCATCTATAGTAAGTAGCTTATAATATTGTCTTTTCTTGTCTGAACATAATGAATAGAAGATTCATCAGATGATTGATTGTGATTTGTGAAGGAATATTGTTAATGTGTGCAGCAGGGGGCAGAAAAACAATTGAACTGACTCATCTGAAAATTAATATATGTGAACAAAAAGGGCCGGAGCTGATTGGTAATAGAATGAGAGACCATGAGGAATTTCCAGAGCTGTGTATTAGACTGGAAATTAAAATAAAATCACAAAAGAAAGCAATGGCCAAACACTTTTGTGTTGTGCTACGATGTAGAAGCACCTCAGGAATTGAGGTTTGTTATTTTGGTGGATTCCATGACAAATAGCACCCAATATAGACAGTGAGATTTAAATATTTCAGATTAAGATTCTTGGATTGTTTGTAGCTCAGTTGTCAGTGTGTACCATTTAAAAAATATTTCCCATTTTTTGTGATTTTTTTAAAGCAAAAACAACTGAAGAATTTTGGAAAAGAAATGCTGACTATGATAAAAGTCTTTATTCACGAACAATAGCTTATGAATTGCAGTGTTATTCCTACATAGGAAGCATGTTTTGCTGTATTTTTCAGATTACATATTGTGCAATTGAGCCTGTTTTCTTTTACTTTTCAGCTTTTTCCTTGGAAGGCTCTGGAATAAGTTTTGCTGATTTATTCAGGCTCATAGCTTTCTACTGTATTAGCAGGTAATGGAGAATGTTCTTATAACAGCCTTTGTTTAATATTTCTTAAACTGTGGTTGCCTTATTAATGCAAATATGAAGAATCTTAATCAAACTGATAAAGAATAAACTGCTGACTAACCTTTTTAGTGGCTACTTGAGGAGATAGCTGAGTAGGATTCTGAATATCTGAAACATCACAATTGAATAAATGAATTAATTGGCTTTATTGCATTCATTAATCAGTAAAATACAATTTTACAACTAAAATTATAGAAATTTAAAAAGAGAGTTTCCATAAAATAACAGTAAATGAAGTACTAAGTTAATAAGAAAACAATAAATTAAGAAAACAAATGCTTATGTGGTATATAAGGTATTAGCCTAATTTAATACACTAGCTACTGCTAGATTGACATATCTATAACATGTCTTAACTAATACAATAATATAATATAATTAAAACAATTTAATATACCATTGTTTCATAAGTAATTAACAATGTGAAACACTAAAATATTTAATTGGAAAACTCATTGATTGATAAAATACTTCGTTATTAAGATTACAAGCCAGTGCCTTTGCTCAGTTCTTGTAAATTCAGTACTATAATATATTAACATTGCAAAATGAATTTGATGCTCCAAAAGGGATCTCTCTCTATTTGGCAGGCAATTAAATAGAATTTTGCCACTTGCCATGTAATTTGTGAAATATTTTTTTAAATGTTTTTTTTTTATTAAAGAACTAGCAGAACTCTGTCCCACCAATACAATTTTGCAGAAGAGCATGGCCAAGAGTTTCTAATAGCCCTTATTTGCATGGCCCAACTCTTTCCTTTTGTGGAACTTTTAACAGAATAATAGAGTTGGAAGAGACCTTGTAGGTCTTCTAGTAATCCAACCCTTGCTCAAGCAGGAGACCTTACACCAGGGGTCCCCAAATTTGGCAACTTTAAGACTTGTGGACTTCAGCTCCAAGAACTCTCCAGCCAGCATAGCTGGCTGAGGAATTCTAAGAATTGAAGTCCACAAGTCTTAAAGTTGCCAGGTTTGGAGACCTCTGCCCTATACTATCCCAGACTAGTGACTGTCCACCCTCTTCTTAAAACCCTCCACTGATGGAGCACCCACAACTTCTGATCCACTGGTTAATTGTTTTCATTGTTAGGAAATTTCTCCTTAGTTCTAGGTTGTTTCTCTCTTTGATTAGTTTCCATCCACTGTTTCTTGTCTTGCCTTCTGGAGCTTTGGGAAATATGTTGCCCCCTTCTTCTTTTGCGGCAGCCACTCAAATATTGGAATGCCGCTATCATTGTCATCCCTAGCCCTTTTCACCAGACTAGACAAACCTAATTCCTGCAACCATTCTTCATGTGTTTTAGCCTCCAGCCCCCTAATTATCTTTGTTGCTCTTTTCTGCACTGTTTTCTAAGTCTCTACATCTTTTTATAACAGTATTGGATGCAGTATTCTCAGTAATCTAAGTGTGGGCTTATACATGTGCCCTCAAGGATAACTGATGGGAAAATGGCAAAGTGAGCAAGAGTGAAAATGGTGTGTTACTTTGGTAGGCCGTGCTGTTTAAATAGTAGGTGCCTTATGTGATATGCACTGACTAGATAATATGTTTGCTGAAATGCTGCTTTAATCTCCCTGCCTATCCATATTGAGTATTTTCAATCCTAGATGCTTCTTAGGTGACCATATCCCATTCCCCCAAAGCATTGGGAAATCCACAAAAGTTCATATTGTGCCATTTTCTGCTCTATCCTAACTTTTAGATACATAGAATCCTGTCAATATCAGCAACCCCAAGTCTTCTGGTAGCAACTGCAGCTTTTGCCAGACATTACCTATCCTGACCTGGACCCTAGTTTCAACCCTGAGCAGGCCTATCTCCTGGAGGAGTGTTGCCACTTAGATTCCCCCTCAAAACCAGAGAAATACTGAAATACCCACAATGGAGGAATAGATTTGTAAAGATGACAAACTTATCAGAAATGGCAATGACTTGCTTGGTCAGGGATCAAGCAATAAATACTTTTTATAAAAGACTGGAACTTTTATGGATTTTTTTTTTTACTGAAAATGAAAGAAGGTAAACTTGTGATTTGTAGATTATTGATTGAAAAGGAATTGAATATGAGATACCAGGGATCTTTGTATCATAATTTGAATGAGGGGGGGCGGAGGTTGCTTTTTTATTATCTTTTTCTTTCTTTCTTTCACTTTATTGCTTTCTTCATTTTTTATTTTGTCTTTTGTCTTTCTCTAACTTTTCTTTATATATCTGCATATTAATCTTTTATCTAACTTTTTTTCAATTAAAATTATGTTTAAAAAATGTAGAAACCTTGGACTCAAGCAGAGTTGCTTGCTTTCCTACTCTAATTCTACATCAACTTTTGCAGAAGTAAGTTGGGTTAGAAGTTGGGTTCAAAGAGTTTAATGGCAACTAGAATATATTTGCTTGCTCCTCTCATGGCCAACTGGTTCCACTGTTTCTTTGAGTCTCTGGGGTCTTTTTAAGAGCCTCATAATCCTTGCTTTGTTGCTGATTAGTTAAATGGTGATACAAACTGAAAAGAGGCATAAAGAATGAAAGCCCCCCCCCCACACACACACACATTACTCCTATTATATTCAGTGACAAGAGCACTGGCTCATCTCTGTACAGACACACAGGTGCTTGCTTCCTACAGTGTTCAGGTGTGGAGTTCTATTTTTTGAGGCAATTGGTGATGGAGTTTGTATAAAAATCTAATAGTGAGGGAGCAATAATGCAGCTTTGTTTGACTCCTCCTATGGTAGGGACAGGCTCAAATAATCGCCCGTTTCTTTCAGTTTATTATTTTCGTGCACTTTATACATGAGTTTAAGTCAATTGATGTGTCTCAAAGCTTTCCATAGTTTCTTTCTGGAGATACTTTTGAAGGCATGCATAACATCAATGAATATAGCATATACACATGATCTTGGTTTTACTATATTATCCAGTAGTTAAATGGTGATCCAAACAGAAAAGAGGCATAAAGAACAAAAGCCCCAACCCCCTTTAGTTCTATTATATTCAGTGACAAGAGCGCTCTTGTTAATCGCAATCTGTGTTGTTTTATAACTTTGCTTTCTCTGAAACCTGCCTATTCAAGACCAAACAAATCAAAATTATTATTATTTATTATTATTATTCCACCAAATCTCTAGGATCTCTATGTTTTGCATATGATTTGCTTACATAGTTTAATATTGTACACTAATTGAGTGAAAACTTTTAGGAAGAGACATATTTCATTTTTACACATTTCTTACTGAAGAAAAATTTGTCTAGAAATAGCATGATATTCATCTCATAGCAGTGTGTATGATGTATTGTATTTAAAAACTGATCATGTTGGATTAGTTTGAAACTCATTGAGTAATAAACAGCTATTTACTGACCGATTTCCATTCTATTTGGTCCAAGTGTCCAGTATATATATCCATGGGTTAATATCCAGAGCCCTGTAGAAGTGGTCTTCGAGGTATAGTTTTTAACATGGAAGTAGGAAATTTATAAAATGCATAAGAATATTCAGTAGCTGTATCCGTTTAAAATAAATAAATTGTATTTTGTTATTTGGCATTGCCCCAGCCTGACAAATGCCTAATTTCAAAAGAGCAAGATCAGTGCTCAGCCTGAAAAAAGGTTTGCGCCCTAATCTATTTTGGAATTATTTGTTTAATTACAGCTCGCTCAGTTCTCCATCCAACTTTTATCCTAACCCTGGCACCTGAGATCAGTTATGTAGGATGGTGGAGGCTGATCAGAGGCTTTTTTGCATACAAAACCTAGTTGTTGCTGCTCTATCATGTTTGTCAATTATATTTGCCTTGCAGTGATTCACTAAATTTCTCCAAAAAAAATTTGTTGTCTGGACAAATGAAATATGTGTATTGCACTTATACTGCAACTGAGCCATAATTCAAATGCCTTTAAGATCCTTAAAATCTCCGGTTGAGAACCAATTTCGTGATATTTAAGTTTGTTTAATCAACTTGCAATCTGATCACTCTAACTGTAAGCAAAAAATGGGAAATTCTGAACTATTCAATGTACAAGCTTATTCTGAACTATCTGGTAGAGACATTGTGAGGAAGTAGCAACAGAAAGTATTTTTGTTTTGAGGAAAAACATATGAGATTGTTGCTGATATGAAGAGGCGAGATGCAGAAGAGTAAAACAAGTTAATGCCTTAATTGTTTCCAAATAAGGGATGTCCTGCCATTCACCTTGAAGTTACCTCAGGCAATTGCAGCAGCAACCACAGAGTCTGAACTTGAAGAGGCTGTTCAGCTGGGATTGAGTAAGTAAAAGCAGACAATGGCGGGAGGGAAGGGCAGAGTTAAATTGCAGCGGTGGCATTAGGAAGAGATCTCTAGTCTCTAATGTGGTGGTAATTTGCTCATAATGCATTCTTTGGCTTTGCGTCTAATGTCCCTCAATTTTTTTTGGCATTGATTAAAAACAAACAATGGGACATAGGAATGCTGCAAAGAAAAGCATCAACCTCAAGTTGTATTTTCACTTGGACCAATACAGATGTATTTTAGAAGTATAACCTATTGGTACAGTGCTTTGTTCTCCTTCTGAGTTAAGACTGTTTTATGGATTGGCTGCATTTATTATGTCAACTATTTTGTGAGTGTGCTTAAAATGCGCCCAAAATTCTATATATCCCAATGGTCCCAAAATATTGGGTACTTCTGTTTTGACTGTTCCCCTGCATGTCACTTTGTGATTCAATCCACACTCGTGCATCAATTGCTTCTTGTCATACAGAAGAAACATGGGTATCAAGTGAGCATCTGTTTCTCTTCATGAGAGAAGCATATTTAGAAAAGGGTAATTCAGATTGGGTGGGGGAGAATATAGAAATGAATGGTGCAGAAAGGTTAAATTTTCTCTCCTAGCATGTTTTAGCTATTTTTGACTGGGAAAAAAAAAACCCGAGGTCTCTAAATATTAGTTTGAGTCATAGAGAAGCAGTCCCATAGAAGTTATGGAATTAATCCACAGCAGAATTTAAAGCCAAAGGTTCAGTTCTGGCATTGTGACAAGCTAGTTTTTGAAACACCATTTTTCTACTTCTGGAGTTATGGGACCCAGTGTTTATAATTTTAATGATTTGTTATCCCGTATTTGTATTCTGCCTGTGCTTCGGGTGTAGTTCCCTCTGTCTGCCTTTGGAAGCAAAATGAGCTTCACGTTCATATTAAAATTTGAACTTGGATGCCTTCTCTACCTCCAATTCTAGTTCTTCTTGCCATGAGCCATGGTCCAGCTGAGCATACAGAAACCTAAAATAAGTATGCCACTCTAAAGCAAATTATCTGGAGACATAAACCACAGTTTGGCATAATATTTGAATTAAGCCATGTTTGGCATAATGTCTGCATTAAGCCACTGAAAAATTGATCACAGAGGATCAGATTTAGAAAACGGTCTTTAAAAAAAATTGCTGTTGGCATTGATGAAGGCGAAGACAGCTTACTTCTTAGAAAACCTGACACATTCCATTCAAGGCTGTCTTCCATCTAACAGAGAGGATTTCCAGGAGTACCTCTTCTTCTGTGCTTTTAGGAAACAACAAGGCAGATCATTAGAATTAATGTCAAGCAATACCAACAGGTCTGAGTTACAATTAGAAAATATTTGGAACTAACTGATGGGGTTTAGTAGTGCAGAGTTACTCTTGAAATAAACTAAGCTTGTGTAGGAGGTATCCCTGGTAAACTGTACCTTGTACTTCTCTGTATGTATATTTCCTTTTTTCAACTCTAGGACCCCAAGGTTTCAAGCTGATTCTATAAAATGCCTCCCCTCCCCCTTTAAAGAAAAACTTTTTGAATAGAACATTCTAAGCACTAGCCGCATAATATTTGCATTCTTTTGCTAACTAAATAATGACTTTCAGATTTTTGGAGCTCTCCAGCTAACAACAAACTGCAAAAATCTTCGCCCCTCCAGAAGCCTCTGCCTTCAGACAGCATTTACAAAAGCTCCCAGCAACTCTGCCTCATAAATGGAGTTCATTCTATAAGAACTAGAACGCCTTCAGAGCTGGAATGCAGCCAGACCAACGGAGCCCTGTGCTTTATTAATCCTCTCTTCTTGAAAGTGCACAGCCAGGATGATGGTGGAAATCTGAAAAGATCGGGTCCAAAAGCACAAGATGTGAATGGCCCTGAGAGATCCTGTTCTCCCCCACCCAGGCCTCCCCCACCTTCTATTCATAGCCTTCTCGCACACCCTCAGCTGTCCAGGACTACAAACCAGGCCGGTCTGCCAGGAACTGTCAGTCACAGCAAACACTCCAACTTGGACGTGATACAGAAGAGGCCAACTCCTATCCCACCGCCTCGCCTGAAAAAAAGGGCTCTCTCTTTAGCACAGAGCAATGCAAAGAACTCAGCAGTAAACGAACCCAGCCATAATTTGGTGGATGGCACAGAAACTGCCAGCATTCCAGGTGGAGCCCCGCCTCAGCAGAACTTGGAGAGCAAAAGCAGCTTAGCTACACACCGTGAGTCACAAGTGCAGTGGAATGGAGGCAGGCAAAGACTAAGCAACATGAGCTTGTCCACATCCTCCTCTGATTCTCTGGATTTTGACCGGAGCATGCCGCTCTTTGCCTATGATGCGGATACCAACAGCAGCCTGGAGGAGTTCGAGGGGGAGAGCGACCAGGAGAGCATGGCACCACCCTTTAAGCCCAAGAAAAAAAGGAATGGCTCGTTTGTGCTTCCCAAAATCGTCAAATCCCAGCTGAGGAAAATGAGTGGCGTCTTCAGTTCCTTCATGACCCCTGAGAAAAGGATGGTTAAGAAAATAGCAGAAATGTCTCGAGACAAGCGTACCTATTTTGGTTGCCTAGTTCAGGACTATATAAGCTTTCTGCAGGAGAACAAGGAATGTCATGTTTCCAGCACAGACATGCTTCAAACTATTCGGCAGTTCATGACCCAAGTGAAGAGCTATTTATCTCAGAGTTCTGAACTGGATCCTCCCATTGAATCTCTGATTCCGGAAGACCAAATAGGTAAGCAGCTGTGCGGCACCTTTCACGAGCAAAAATATCCTGTTCCTGTGTCTGTCCTTTCCATCTGGCTTTGAAATGCTCTTGTTCATAAGTGAAGTGGCAGCTCCTTCTCTTGCTTGCCATCCAAGCTACTTCAAACAAAAGTGGCTAGATCTGCATTTTGTTCAGTGCCTTTTCTTTAATATGAAATTTTCAGTGGAGTCTTACAAAGCTATGTAAATGAAAAAAAAGTATGCTCTTTGCTCTCACACATGACGTGAGGATGGGAATGGCAAGAGAAACAAGAATTTGTTGTTATTACTAAACTTGGGCTTCAGTTTTCTTTCTGGGAAGGAATATAGTATTCTAGAACTCTAATGTTAAAGATAAATTTAATTGTAGAAATATAGTAATGTTTAAGACCAGGAATCATGATTGGGAGTAGCAGTTTTTAGACATGTTGTAGGATTTATTTATTAGTACTTAAAATGTATGTAATCTGATCTATTTTAAAATTTAACTTATGAAAATGAAACATCAATAGAAGCAAACCCTTAAACAAACCCTTAAATAGCATCAAACTATAATGCCTTGCAGTGCAAAATGCAATGCAGAGATAATAAAATCCCACATGGTGTTTTTTTTTTAAAAAAAACCTCAAATCAGAACAAATGAAGAACAGATTTTTAAAGTACAAAAAAAGCCTAAGAAAGGGAGATGTTACTTATCTCAGATTTTGTTTGCTTTGTGTTTATGTTGGCATTTTATATAAGGATGTGTATCAAAATCCAAGTTAGCTTTTTAGTGTTGTTTCTATTCATTTTTGTAAGTATCAGTGACATCCATTTTGCTTGAAAACGTCCCTCAAGGCAAAAATACTTTCCCTGGAAGCTCATTTCATTGACTTGTTTTCCTTCCCCTTCTCACTGTTTCAGTGTGCTCAGTTTGTTGAAAAACTCTCTTGGAATAGTGATTTCTGGGATGAAAAATTTGGCCTCCCTTAATTAAATAACGATTTCCATATGGAGGAGACACTGTTGATTCAACACAAAGAGAATATGTTGTCAATGCAATAACAGCCTGTGATTTTTTTAAAATAGTGTCATAACTTTAAGTGAAATATAGTACTTTATATCAAAATTTTGAAATATGCTTGTGCTTTGTTTGAACGTATAATTTTCATGCCTTGATGTGTACTCCAACGTTGAGAAAACAATCTGAGCCTTGATGACCTGCTAAGTTACTACATTCTTCTTTTGTTAATGCCATTCTGTGTCTGTGTGTGAGAGAGAGAGAAGGTGGGGGAGGCATTGCATTTTAGCTGCAGGGGCTTAGTTGAACAATTGATGAGCCATGCTTAATTTTGCGGAAAGGCAGTTTAAGCAAGCAAGACATTTTTGCTTTTGAACAATTTTGCTGCCTTCACCAATCTTGAGGTTTGCAAATAACCACAACAGAGCAGATGTATCAGATGTTGCTGATTTAGGCAAGAGCTATGTGGCAAATCAATTGAATCATCTTAGGCAACAAAACAAGGCCAGCCTATTCCACATAGACTAAATGTAGGCTCTCAATTGCAAATATGTCAAAAGAGAGAGGGAAAACAAATATTACAACTAGATAAATAGTTTTTTTTTTTCATTTTTTTATTTGTTGTTACTTAAGTTCTCTACATGTTTGTCTCTAGATGAGGTTTGCTTCAAATAAGCTTTATTCTCAGTTCTGTAGGAAGAATTTAGGATAATAGTTAATGATCAGAGGCTTGTGATCTCAGTGCTTACAGAAGGAATGAAGTACACTAGTGAAGTAATAGTTTGGTTCATGTTGTGATTTGACAAGTTGTGTGTGCACATGTTCACCGCCTGATCCAACATGCTATTTCTAAGAATTCCAAGAAATATTTCCATGCCAGATATTTCCAGGAAAGTCACAAACAGAGCAGTCTTGGCATGCAATTTATTTTGCTTCTAACCACTGAATCTAAAGGCTGAATCTGAAGGTACATTGTCATGAAGTTGGAAGCATGGGAAATCCATGCCAGGTTTCATAGGATGAAAAAATTGTCATTGCAATATTGCACAGCAATGCATTAAATATGTTATATGGATTGTGCAAAGAGCAACTTTCTTTCACTTCTCACAGTCAGGTAGTGTTATTCCTCCTCCTTTGCCCTGATTCTTGTTTTATAAGGAAGGGGAGAATGTCTGTGTCTTGCAAAAATATTACAAAGTCAGTTTGCCAAAGTTACTAAGTTAATTACTCTGGAGTATTTCAAACATTCTAGAACAGGTATGGGCCACCTATGAGGACTTAAAGTTATGAGAGAAAATGCTGAATAATATCAAGATGGCCATGTAGTGAATTCAGGGAATTACTTTGAATTGCTACTGTTGCCGTTCAATCATTCAGTTGCTTCCAAACCTTGGTGATACAGTGGACATAATTTGTCCAGGTTGGTCTATCAGTAACTACATCTTTTGAGTTTTTGTAAGCTTATGTTTATGTCATTTTGCCTTCTTCTGCTAGGCTCATTTTTGAATGCCTTCAGTATTTCCAAGCAGCAGGGCTTCTCCAGTGACTTGCCATTATGTTCAAAACATTTAGGCTTTAGCATCCCTAGATTTTTAGTGATTTCTAGTGAGTCATTTAGTACTGAATGATTTGTTCTTGTGGCCAAAGTATTATCAACCATTTTCTCCAGCACCACAATGGCAACACATCATTTTTACCTTTGTTTAGACTTCCTCATCCTCCAACTTTCACAGCCATACATTACAATAAGGAAAACCTGTAGATTTCACCATGCAATTTTTCTCTGTTGGATGATGTCTGCAATTTAATACTTTGCCTAGATCTTTATGACAGATTATTATCTTTTCCCCAAATAGTGAATGTTTACTTCATAATTAGTGATTTTAAAAAAATCCTTCTTATTCATCACTCTTCAAGGAACACTGTTCTCAGTGAAGGCCAATCACCTACTGTAAGTCCTTAGAGTAGGGGTGTCCAACCTTGACAACTTTAAGACTTGTGGACTTCAACTCCCAGAATTCCTCAGCCAGCTGGCTGAGGAATTCTGGGAATTGAAGTCCACAAGTCTTAAAGTTGCCAAGGTTGGACACCCCTGCCTTAGAGCAAGGATTTTTCCTCCTCCTCCTCCTCCTAATTGCAGCTGTCCCCCATGTAAAGAAATGCAGAGCTGTCTCAGGGGAATGTAAGAGAGAGCTTTTGGGTGGGGACTTGGAGAACAGATTATAGTCTTAAAACAGAAGGAAGCATGAGAAAAAAACTCCAAATAATGTCCCCTTGATTTTGTTTACCACAAAATGGAACACCTCCTCAGCTTTCAAGATTAATATCAGCCCTTCAAGGCAGGACAGGGCAGGAAAGAGACATGGCAAGGATTCCGGAATATTTCAATTTTGTAGTAAGGTGGATTGACAGAATTTCATTACCTCTGCTAAACCTGACCAGCAGGCATCTAACTCAAACTGCAATGCAAATTATTCATACTGTCCCAGTAAATATTTTTCTGGCCCACTCTTCACAGAAGGGTCCAAGTTACTTCAGAAAGAGCCACTGAACATGTAAAAGAGATTTTGTCATTTTGCCACTCATGCTGCTGTGCTGTAGGCTGAAACTTGATACTTTTTCTGTGTTTGGTTAGACTGGGCGTTGGTAGAAGTTACCGTGAACGCCCTTTCTTTCTATGCTGCGAGAGAGCCCAGGATGGGTTGACTCCTTCCT